AGTTCTAATTGGCGTAGAGATACACAGCTTAGACAGAAATGTGCATATTAATTGGGGGATTTTAAAATTGCAAAAAAGTGTATTTGACTAATTTCCCCGGGATTCAATCTTATGATAGTTCACCGACGTTATTGTGTTTGACGATATTTCTTGTTTTGATATCCGTGGCTAAATTTGCGTCGCCACAAGCAGAATCTGTTAATAATGGCACAGATTTCATACCAAATAATATATAATCTGGACTGTAAAATTCCGTATTAAAACAATTTTATTGTTTGTTTATACATTCATTAGCTAGAAATGTCATAAATATTAAATAATGTTGATTATTAAATTTATTTTGAACCATATAGAAAAGCCTTTCTTGGTGGCACAATAAGTAAATTATATTGAACTTATATAAACCAACAAGAGAGTAAGAGTTAAATCATTGCATTGTTGTTTTGAATCTTGTAAAGTCATATGTAAGAAGCAATGTTAAGTTATATCTCTCGACTAACAACCGTCCCTGTTCGTAGAAATTCTCGTAACGTCGTATGTAACAAGCAATGTTAAGTTATATATCTCGACGACGACACAACACTGTCCATGGAAAGTCTCGCATTGTAGGTATACCCATAGATAAATATCGTAATCTGTCGCCTGATGACCGACTTACTTTCGCCCAATTTCACTCCATTTTACAAACACAATGGTGACGTGTAGTTACCATTTTTCTTCAGAAATGATATGAGTTGTCTCTGAGATATCAAAGATATCAACGTTTTCCGATGTAAGCCGTCGAGGTTTTACCCTTTTTACAACACATGATCGCTTACGATCACTGCTGCTTGCGAGATCTAGGTTTAAACGGTCTTTTCATATATGGTTACATTTACAGGTAATTATTCTGAATACAATGTACATAGTCTATACAACGTCCACTCGACACAAACTAGGTGATTTCGTCACTAACAAATGGTTCAATTTTATTTATTAAAATAATTCGCTTGTGCGTCGGGACCCTAAAGTGTAGGAGAACGAACCCGGCGAAAGCCCACTAGGTTGGGCGGGTGACCCTACATCATGAAATGTCTCGACCAACCATAGTCAGTGTTTACCGAAATACAACGTACTATATGAACCAGCAACTGAACATAATGATCCTCAGATAGATCGGGAACTACACGTTGCGGGGCGTTGAAAGTCGGCAGAGTGCAACCTCTTATGACCACAATTTTTCACACCAAATCCGTTAATGGCTGTAGAGTAGTCTATCAAATTAGTTCCTGATCCTTTTTGTATGTTAAATAAAGATGAATGCGTTGAAACTTTGCGGCATATCTTACTAGACTGTAAATATGTCAAATCATGACACGAGCTCATATATGACATGATTCAGGTGAATTTTCAAAGCAAAGGGTTTAGCAGAGATGATTATGTGGTTTGGTTCATGTTTGGATATCCTATCAGAAAGGAAGCTGATAATTTATTTTTAGTATTTTTTTCTCGGCTGCTAGGTTGGCAGTTTTAAAGAGAAGGTTGTATTTCTTAAAGCAAAATCATAAGTTAGAAATACGTGCCGTATTTAAATCAATTTTAACAGCTCATATGAATAATGTTTATATTTATATGAAACATCATGGATTATTACACAAGTTTCAACTTTTATATCAATTAAATCCATATATAGAAATTGTTGATGATAAAATCCTCGTGAAATTTAATTAGTAGAATATCATAATCATATATTTATTTTATTATTATATGTAATATTTTTATTCTTTTAGTCGTTGATTTTATCATTATATTTTGTTTTATATTTTAACTGTGATAAATAAAATAATAATAAAAAAAAACAGGACAATTGTGGGCGTATGGACCGACGGTCATAGGTGACAACATAATACGCCCACACTTCAATGTGGGCGTTTACTATAACCTATAGGATGTCGTATTTTTAATTTTAATACATTTCATTCTGGTGGTTTTGACAGATGGTGTTCAAAATTGTATACGGGTCTTACTTGTATAATTATTTCCTTTTAATGATCGGCTTGTTTGCTAATTTCTGTTTCATTGTTGGCTTTCCTACTCCTGGGGTACCCAAGTTTTTGGAAAAAGGGGTGTCACAACGGAATGCGTCACACCAAATTTGAAATATACAATGTACAGACTCCATCGCTTTCCATCGCTATCTTTTAAAAATTGATCTTTTGCGCATAGAAAGGACTCGACAATTTCGAACGTTTTGAGACAGGTACTATACCGCCATGTCCTCTCGGCCGACAGGGAGTCTCGGAAACGATCAATTCCCGTCGGGTGAATTCAGAACGCAATGTCATGGATCGCTAAATATCGATATTGGTTTTGTCCTTTGATGAATACAATGATTCACACCAAATCTAAAAAAAAAAAAACCAAGTATAGATCTGTGACATCTATCGTATTCACGGTGTTTTTAGGTAAGGGGTCATAACTCTGGAAACAAACGGTTACGGGTCACTGATTATCAATCGGTTTCGCCTCAAATAACCAGAAAGCTTCAAACTAAATATGAAGAACGTATGTTAACAAATATATCCTGTTTTGCATTCACAAAGTTTTCGGGTAAAGGGAAATAACTCCAGCAGGGAAGGTCCGTTGTCAACTGAAATTAAATTAAGACGTGATCTTTAGTTTCATCCGAATCAGACAACAGTTGTAGCCTCTGAAGGGTTTGCCATTTTTGTTTCCATATTTCGCATTTTGCATGAAAGGAAGGGGGCATAACTCTGGCACGAAACTTCCGATGCGCACAAAAATTGGGTTCAATCAAGAACGGCTCGTCCTTAACACATATTTCAAGTTTTGCATTTTGCGTAAACGGCAGGGGTATAAATCAGACACGGAAGGTCCGATGCGGACCAAAATCGACCTTATCCAAGAACTGTTGATCCTTATCACACATATGTTCAGTTTCATCTAAATCGTCTCTGGAGGATACATAACTGTGGTATATACGTATTATATGCTTTTACACTATTTGCATACAGTGGGCAACCATTTTGACGGATTTTCACGAAATTTAAACTCACACAAGAAATATGTGAACGTTTTGTTTCGTTAAGAAAAAAAAGAAAAAATGCTACCACCAGAAAGAGTGTCCACAAGACCACAAGCTCAATACAGATCAAATTCAAAACTTCTGGCCTTCTACGTTCGGACCAGAACCGGCAGTGTGCGGATATTCACTTCAGGGCTCCCGTGAAGACACGATCAAATCACATGATGGAACAGACCGACTCGGTCGGTTGTTAAATCAGCGTGTCCCGGCTACCATCTCTGCGGGACCGTAGTCGCGGAATGTGACAGCCACGAGATATATCTCGAATAACGGTGTCGGAGTTATGCCCCCTGCCGACCGGGGAGCCTTTCAGGGCCACCGACGACTTTGCCATGAAATGTCTGTCTAATCAATTGGGCATGGTCGGTGACCTACATACCATGGTGTTGATATGTAACGCGGAATCAAGGTTCGATTCCGGGGAGGGGTCCCTATTTAAAAGAGCGTGATAACATTTGAGTTTCCTTCAAATCAAATCAAATGGGATTTAACGTCCTACTGTTCGGCACCGACTGGGCTAATGGAGACGGGCATACACCATACAGTGTGCTATGGGAGGGGGTGATGGGATTGTCCTGTCACTACGGCGTATTTATTTATGTATCGAATTTCAACTGTCAAGGTATCTTTGGCGTGCATAACAATATGTACACGTGACCCATGTTTTCCTGGGGGGTTGGATGGCCGAATGGTTAGTACGTGCGTGCTGTATCATAAGGCCTGTCATTGAGTCAACTGGCGTGGTTTCGAATCCTCGGTTGTACGTGACAAGGAGTAGGGTCGCCTGTCCAACCTCGTGGGTTTTCCTCGGGTCCTCCGGTTTCCTCCCACTGCTAAAGACCCCTACGCGCAAGCGAATTATTGAAATAAAATTAAACATATGTTAGTCCCGAAATGACCTAGTTTGTGTCGAGTGGACTTTAAACTCCATTTCTCTCTCTCTCCCATGTTTTGCGTCCCACCTGAATGACTATATTTTATTGTCCCTTGCCAGGTACCCCGTCCGGCATTATATTAAACTAGATCATTTCAAAGACTAAACGTTAAGAGAAATATAATGTTACAATATTCTATTCCTTTGGGTAATTTTAATTGATTTATAAACGCGAGACCCGTGGGGTATAACGTCCTATTGTTCTGCTCGACTCGGCTAATGAGTACACGGGACCTCCATTGATGGTACCATCCGTAAGACTAGACAGCTCTCCTTCTCAGACCCTTCGTCCTGTACTACTGACAAGGGGAAAACTACACTGGAGAATCACGATGAACTTTCTAAACCAACACCGGAAACGAACACATGACCGAGACCCACAAAGGACTATCCCAATTTCCAATTGATTCTTTATTAGATTCTCTGGTTGTACGTGAAAAGGAGAAGGGTCGCCTGTCAAATCTCGTGGGTTTTCTCCGGGTCCTCCGGTTTCCTCCTACTGCTAAAGACCCCTACGCGCAAGCGAAATTTTGAAATAAAATTAAACCATATGTTGGTCCAGAATGACCTAATTTGTGTCGCGTGGACGCTAAACCCAATCTCCCTCTCTTTCTCTCTCTTTGATTTTTTATAATTATTGAATAATCCCAATATTAGTTTTCTGATTCATTTCGATGTATTACGTTTAGACCTGTAGTGTGTTGACAAGCACCTTTTAGGGACCGGAATTATGATGGAAAATGGAATAACAAGGCGTTTAACGTCCTACTGGTCTGCATCGATTCGGCTAATAAAGACAAGCATACCCCATACAGTTTGCTGCGAGGGACATTTTGCCCGGATAGCGAGGCTACGGCTCACTCTTATATCGAACTCCAGTGTGTATACGGACGGCTATGTTGTCCCTTGCCAGCCCCCCACCCGCCCCCGTGTTACACCCCAATGAACTTTCTCGATCAACACAGGAAAAAAACACTGATCCAACGTCTTACTGACTGAGCCACAGTAAATGAGACTCTATTTTATTTTATTTATCACAGAAGCAGATCAGTTGCTTCAATCGGGTAGCTGTTTCGTTCAGTAGACTGTATCCCGTGTTAATGGCGCCTGATGGATCGGAGGCAATTGCTTGTACAAATTCTTCACTTACTCGATCACTTATACCAATAGCGTACATAGTTATATTCTGCGCCTTCGCATCATTGGCCAAAATGGTTGTTTCGTTTATTGGGGTTTCCCCAGCAGCTGAAAATACAAAGAAATAAATTTCAGCAGAGTTGTATAAACCTTTTCTGAAGGTTACTTGTCACCTAAAAGATTTGCAAGCCCTTATCTCGTATCTAAAGACACAACCAAATAGCCCTTATTGCACAGGACACTCGTCTAAAAAGACTAATCCCATTTCAAACAAAGGGTGAGCATAACCTGCTTCGTTTGGAAGACCAAACACTTCTTAATTCATAGTTCTTAATTCATAGTTCTTCATTTGTTGTTGTATTTCAACATTTGTATACTAAAATTAACATTTGTATCATAAAATCAATATTTGTTTTTTAAATCAGAAATTTGTCATATCAAATTTGTAAATTGTTTCTTTGTTTATAATTTACTTGTATTTTAATATAATGATAAGATTTCATCAGATTTCGCAGACCAACAAATTTCCAAATACCAATCTTGCAAAACCTTTATCAGATACATTTCTTTCTATTCATCTTAATTGAATATTATTGACGACAGAGGGCGCTAGTGATGGGCTGAGAAACGGCTCTACCTAACGATAGTAGTCGTATTAGTACTTCTAAACTGTTTATTGACAATATACATTTATAGCTTTATAATTATCAATCTCTTTATATAACTATAATTTTAAACAATGTACTTCATGGGGGCCGATATTAATTATACTAAAATCGTTTCAGATTAGATACGTCATGATTCTGATCATGATTCTGAATACGAGAACGCGATTGGCTATTAGACTTACTATGGTACCAGCAAACCTACATGGGATTAGCTAAATATATCAGGTGTCTTAGATTATGCCTTGTGCTACATCAGATTAAATATAATATATTTACCTGTTATCAAGATACCAATTCTTCGAATATCTGGCAATCTGAACCTTTCACTAATTTCAAAAACATTTAACAACGCGTTTATTGCCACATCGAGAAATGGCAAGCCTCCTATCTTTTCAAGATCATTGATGCGAGCCTGATGTGCTGCGATATTGTTCGTCTCTCTTAAGAAAAGACTTTGGGAATCTATAATAGGAGATGCACCACCATGAGCGATGAACCCGAAGCGCCTAGCATCACCATCGATGCTCAGTTCAGTATAAAGATTCTGTAATAAATCCCTTTCTTGTCCGAACGCCTCAACAGTTATATTGGCCGAACTGTCAACGAGAACCATGACTTCAAAAGACTGGTTCGCACATATAGGTCTCGTTACTGTAATTACAAAAAAACAACATATAAAAACATTTATATTGTACATGAGAGAGAGAGAGAGAGAGAGAGAGAGAGAGGGATGGGTTACAGTTTTAGCGGATTGTGTTCAAATTTGGTGTGAAGCATAGTGGTCATTGGTGGAACTTCCCCGTTTGATTTTCATCTCTACGAGACTGTTGTTGAAATCCTTAGTGAGAAACACTAGGAGTCACGAAATGGTGGATCCTATCGATTTATAGTTCATGCGTATCCCCCCCCCCCATTCCAAAGTCTGATAAACTTGGAAGAGTATACTGCTTTGTCATTAATTGGTGTTAAATATTGGGATCATGAGATACCGAGCCCTATCTGTTCCACTCTTCGTATCCAGGGTCTTCCTTATTACTACGAAAGAGGATGCACTTCGAATCTGATTGGATTTCCATCACTAGACCCTTCCACACCAGGTTCATAAGTCTTTCGCGATGTGCAGTACCAGAGATTGGGTGGTCTAGTGGTTTAACGCGTGGTGTGAAACCATAAGGTCTGTCATTGAGATAAGTGGTAGGGGTTCGATTGACAGAACTAATATTTCGTAGATGCCACGTTTGCTACTAAACGTATCTTGCTTGGGAATAAAGGAGTGCGAGACTTATGATCATATAGCTATAGTACATGTCTATTGCCTGAGCAAAACAGGTGGAGAGACCTAATAGGGACCATTAGCATCAGTACGATAACGTCATCGATTCGGTAAGAAAACGAATACGAAAACGTCATCGTTTCATGTGCAATTGTGACGTAAACCCGTACGTGGGTGAAATTAACGCCATCTAGCTATTATCGTTAGAGAACACATGTTTACGTTTTCGTGTCGATGCGAAAAGTCCCTATTATCATAGATACCCTATTTCGGGCGATACAACAGTCTTAAGATCATTACCATTATCCAAACAAGCATTACTGTTACAGCTCTTTGTTTCACCAGGATCACCAGGACAGTCAGCTCCACCAAACTCCGGGGGAGGGTTGTCACATACTCTACTCCTTTTCTGTTCAACAACGCCACATACAGAACAACATGTACTAAACTCAGACCATGTTCCCCAATTACCGTCAACTGAAAAACTGTAAATCTTTTTTATAGGACACAGAGGACATATACTTCAATCATATCGTATTATCCCAAGTCAAGACTAACTGAAAACATTAATAATATTTGTTTTATCCCTAGTGACTACCTACTGGAAATATCATATACAAGTTGATAATCAGGCTTATGTCCGAACTTAAACGTCATTTAAAATTTAGACATCAGTTTAATATCAATTGTCCGTGATCCTGTCAATAAATTTGTAAAGTAATATTTTGCTTTTCGTTAGTAAGGTTGGTTGTCAGGCTAAATTTTCAAATACGCACATTTGACCTTCAATGAAATGTATTTGGAAATATGATAGGTGCATTCAGATTAAGAATAAAGAGAGGTCACCATGTAATTCACTGTCCAAAAAACACAGGCACCGAATAATTATTTCCGTAAGTTTGACGGCCATCGTTTCAGCAATACAAGTAGACAAGTTCACACCCGAAACATCTACTGGCGGCTAAAATATAATTATGGTTCTCAATTTATTGACATTTGTTTATATAAACGATAAAATCTAATAAATTGATATCATGCTCAGAAAAAGATTAAATCCAATAAATGGCCATTATGTTCAGAAAAAGATTAAATCCAATAAATGGACATTATGTTCAGAAAAAGATTAAATCCAATAAATGGACATTATGTTCAGAAGAGTATGATATTGATTTGGATGATTATAAAAATCCCGATGTCATTCTATGTCGTTAAACCGTAAAGTTTATTTCAAGTGAGACTACCAGCTTTATTAATATATCTATTGTAAATAGATGATTGACAAATTACAAATATCTATGTAATCCTAGGGCAAAGATCTCGACAGCATGAGTTAGTATTGGTTAATGATGACCCACTGTAATCGGCATTCGAAACTCGGCTTTCACAATTCTTGGTGTATTTCGCCCCCCCCCCCACACACACACCCAATGATAATTTCACGTTAATACTATAAAATAATTTTCAAAACCTTTTCTAATATCATCCACAATTTGTTATTTTAATAATCTTTATAAAACTTTGCATACTTTGTGTCATTTTTACATTTTAATGAGACTATGGCTGCAACCTTCGTCGAGATATACTACATATATTTCATGATTCCATCTTCTTCCACACTTGAATGAAGTCGTTACAAGGGTTGCCGTTCGTCTCATCTCTTTCCCCTCTTGCATGAATTCGTTTCAAATGTTCGCGGATGCATCAATAATAAAAATAACAAAAGAACTCACCAGCAAAGCATCTGCTGCAAATTTGCGATCTTCTAATTTGGTCGCAACTTATCTGTTTCAGTGTCCGACGTTGGTGGTACCGTCTCCACATAGACAGTTGACGTCCATAAGAATATCTGAGACGGATTCCATTTCGTACCCTGTGTCTTCTACCCGCATCAACAACCGTTATAATAATGACAAGAACCAGAGTTGCGGCCAATATAAACCGCATCTTGATGTATCTTCTAGTTGTATCAACGTGTACAACCAACTGGAAGACGACTGTTGAACATTGGGAATACCTCGTCTTTTAAACAGATTTCAGATGTTGACAGATGTTCTTGTTTCCCGGTAAAATTAAATTGAGTTTCCGTGTTTTAATATTACTTTTATTTTCATGTGAGGAAGTATCAAGTAGAAATTAAATTATTTGTGTTGTTACATACCCCCATAACGTAAACAATTTTTTCGTGGAACAAATACTTGTGTCGGGCGACATGTGGTCTACTAGTGTCTGGCCCAAAAACCACGGAACCACCCCTCAAATAGTGCCCCTCTCGGAAATATGACCTAAATGCTTTGGTCATCCTTGATTATCCAGGCGTATCCAGCATTGACAGCCATGCAAATAAATCAACAAATTAAACATTTCCAGAACTTAAAGATACATTATGGGAGATAAGATAAAGAGCTGGGAGTTCTCACTATAATAGTTAAAAAATAGATAACTTAAAGATACATCATAGGATATTAAATACAGAGCTGACAGTTCTCACTATAATAGTTAAAAAAGGATAACTTAGGCTAAAGGGAATTTGTTGAAAATGTCAGTCAAATTGATCCACTCTGAACCGTGATATTAGCGATTTAATATTGGGGCTAGCCTCGATAATCATTACTAAAGTCGATAGGATAAAAAACAAGTCTCGATTATCCATTTTTTGATTTAATTATGAATGGAAGTCGAACAGCAAATCGAAACGTAATCCAATAAACATCGCAGACTAGCTAGGCCATCGAGGGTTGATTATGGTCTGGATAAGATCATTAATGCCTAATTAATAATTTAGATAACATTTCAGGCCTAAAAGGCATATTTAACTCTTGCATAATGTATGTTTAAATAAATTATATTTTCCTATTATGTTTCCTGGTAACTTAATCCACCATTTTATGTATAAAATTTGATTATGATATGCACCATGGCAGTCATGCGAATAAATCAATAAATGAAAGAAATCTATTGCTGCAATAAATTCATAACATAAGCAATAAAACTTAAACAAAGAGAAGCCGCATGAAGATATGTCACTTATGACGTCATACACATCAAATGTCACAATAATCCTGGAAGTCATGATCGCATTTCTTTTTTCATTTAACTGTTCATAATTTGAATTTGTGCCATGAACTCTGATTGGTTAATATTAGTTAAAATGTTTTGTGTCATGAACTCTGATTGGTTAATATTAGTTAACATGTTTAAAAGTCAATATAATCAAAATACCCACGATAGATAATTCCTAGGCTACAATCATGCCCATCGATTAGATTCAGCGAAAGATAGTGTTGGGGTTGTCGTACAAATCATGACTTCATTCGACAAATAAAATATTTTGTAACTGCCGTTTAGCCTATCATAGATCGCAAAATGGCAGAAAACACACAGGAAGAAATTTAATTAAATCAAATAATAATCTAACATAATCATGTATGAAGATGTCAGAGCAGTGGATTCACAGAATTTACCAGACGAGCAACCCATTTTTCGTTATTCAGACTTGAATGTTTAAAAAAAAAGCAAATTTAAGGATGGATATTGATGAATAATGAATGCTCAGAGATCCTCCTTTACTAGAGAAAGTAATGTTTTCGTATACAAAATACTTGTGTCAGACGACTGTCTAGATGATCCAGGCGTATCCATCATTGGCTCGAGTCGGGCAGTGACATAAACCTGGTGGCGTTGCACTTCCGCTTCCTGTTTCTGAGTTACACTACTACTTCCTGTTTCACAAAACTTCAAATCCGACATGAACCGTTACTTAACTCCACCGAGCAACGCTGGGTAAATAGCTAGAAATTAATGAATGACACTTCAACATAGTGCGTGCCACAATAATAGAAAGAGAGCTGCTCAGTTTAGAAAATGGTTTACCTAAGGACTAGTGTGCTATATTTGGCGAGGAACCCACCATGTGACGTCATGTAAAAATTCGAAGTCCCTCCATCGATGCGCAATTGTCGTATTATAATTGTTACTTGGGGGGTGGGGGGTAATATAAGGATTGGACTAACTCTATACACAGGGGTCTGACCTTCTATCCGCATATATATATATGCATACACCATGTCCAACCAGACAATATATAATAAAAATATATGGAATGCCTGTTTAAGACTCATTTTTACCTGCTCTCGCTTCAGCTCGGTTTTATTCAACAATTCGTAATGTCAGGGAATTTAACCTCTGCCGATTCACTCGTATATGTTTTTTCTTCAATCTAGTCGTTTTGATTTGCATAAATACTCCCACAAAACGGTATCAGAGCCACCTGTTTCCAACGTTTTCGTCCATTTCCATTCTGTCACAGACTCCATGCGTTTTTGTCACACAAAACGATCCGCATTGATTAGACGCATTCGGCAGACCTTGGTGTTTTTGTAGCGGGGTTACCGGATTACCCAATAATTGCCGAATGATAGGAAGTACTAATATTTATTATGTGTAAATAAACCATGGACGAAGTTAAATGGAATCGTGCAAAACTTTAAAAGCAAACAGATGGTGGAAACTCAGAAGGCGAAGGATTTGTGTGAAAAGGGCGACGGTGTGATTGTAACCGGTCACGGTGTGGGACTGGCAAACACATATTTAATGGTGCTTGCATGAATTTCTTATCAAGTTATAATTAACTTTTCATTACACAGTTTTATTTTGGTTTGGATTAAGGGCACGTAGTCTCGTGGCTGTAAAAAAAAATGTCGCAGGATTTCAGAATTACTTTTATTTGATGCAGGTGTTTGTCCAAGGATTATTGCAGAATTTGATGGTCCATATTGTGCCAGTGTTAGATTAGTGTTCATCCCATTTCTTATGCCTCGTTGTTGACAAAACAGGTTTTCTACAATATCCGAGTTCAGATATCCAGGATTGATGCTGTTTCCATGGATTAACACTCGTTCACAAAGAGATATGAACCCAGTTATTGATGACTGTAAGTCTTCTCTTGTTTCACGTGTAAATAAGTTTTTTCTGACATCTAAAGTAACTGAATCTGTTACATCCTTTTCCCATGACAGAAAACAACCATTAACTTTCCTTAAGCACTTAAATCTTCCATCACATAAGTCTGAAATTGGTCTGTTTTATCACAAAATATGTCGACTAACACAGTTGTTGCTCCAATATCTCAATTGATGATGCAAATCTTTCTGAAGTTTCAATTCTTCGTTGGTATGCTTTCATAAGATATGTTCCCGTGTCAAATGTCGGGGGATTTTGAATCCAATTTGAAAGTTATATTCATAACACTCCATCCAGTGATCCCATACAATAACCTTGCCATTAAGAACAAGATACCTACATGTACCAGCTGAGGACTTGTGTGCTTTCTTGCTGGATTCAAGATTATTACGGTCCTTTTTCAAACAGTGCATACTATCTTGTATGGTAAAAATGAAATGTTCTCTGTAGAAGAAATCTCTGAACTGAAAGTTAAAATCTTTAGGGCTACCGTCAAAAAGCATGTTGGTGAATGTTCTATTTGTAGATGCCCATAATAAGCATTTGGAAACCCCATTTCTCCTATTAGGTCAACACATTCCCAGAAAGTGTTATACAATTGATGAGCCGTTGCTGGATATGCACTAAAATAAGCTACAGGCCACCTGAAATAATTCTTATTAAATGTCTTATAGGGTTGGTCGGTATTTAACATTTGTTTTTACAAGTATTATATAGAATACCAAATCTGGCTTTAACATTCTTTGTTGGAAAATGGTAATAAATAAATAAAATTGCACAAAGAATTACATGCCGGTTTGGTCTGGAAAGCGGAAAAATATTAATTTTTATACGCCCACACAAAGTTTGGTCGTATTTAGAGATATGGGGTTTAACTGCCACTTGACACAAACTAGGTCATTTTGGGACTAACATGCAGGCTTGAAAGTGGAAACAGTATTAATTCTTATACGTCCACACATAGTGGTTGCTTCCTGTTTTGTAATTTTTTCAAAGAAATTCCTGATTTTGTCATATATGTCATTTTATTTAATAATGGGTCCCTTTTTGCAATATTTGTAGTGATAACTTGGAATTAAGATAGAATTATGATATTTTAATACTATCTGTTCTCTGAAACCATAGACGGATCCAGAAATGGATGTGCTACAACCGGACTAGTCAGTTTTCATTTGGTTTTGGAGGATTGACAATACACAACTGGTGTAGTATAGAAAAACTAAAAGAACTATTTAAAAATGACGACAGATTTGTGGCTGCAAAGGAAAGAATAAAGAAAGCAAGCGTTTTAGTCATAGATGAGATTAGGATATAGATGAGATTAGGATGCTGTCTAAGAGGACATTTTAAATGGTTGAATCTGTTGCAGATTTGTGAAAGAAACTGACTGTTGTTGGTGGACTCCAGGTTTGTACATATAAATTGTCTTTTCATGTCTCTGCAATTTAAAATCAAGAGACAGTCATCGACGAAAAGCATGACAATAGGATCGAAAAGTGATTCGAATTTATTGTGTTATTGTATATATTTGCTTTTGGATAATTATATAAATATATTAGGTTATTTTGTTCTTTTTATCAGATCATTGCAAGTGGTGACTTTAAGCAATTACCTACTGTTCCAAACTACAGATTTGATAATGATGATGCATATTGCTTTTAGAGTGAAAAATGTGTATTGGCACTCTCGTATCATATTAATTTAGTGCAGGTAAATTTGAAAAATTCTCAGACCAAGAATAAAACACATCTATTGTTACATATTAATCAGGCATTATGTAAGAGCTAAATCTGCCTATTGCATGTCTTTTTGAGGCCTTAAATGTTATATACATTGTAAGTTATTCATAAAACATTTATGAAGAGGGCAAGACCATAATCATGCCATCAGCTGTCTCTGAGTTTCAGTAGATTAGAATGGTTTGGCCATTTAATGATTTAATTTAAATATGACAACCATTGATAACGTCGCTCAAAATAAGCTAATGTGAATGAAATTTTCAATATTTTCATTTTGCATTATCTATTTTAGAAATATTAAAGAG